AAATTTTGTACGTACATGAAAACCCTGAAATTCATAATGTAAAATAGTTCTAAAACTGAGGTCAGAGAATCCCCTGGAACTGGAGTTATGGATGGTTATTAGCCACTATGTGGGGGCTGAGACCTGAACCTGGGTCCTCTGCAAGAGCAGTCAGTGCTCTCAACCACTGAGCTTTCGCTGCAGCCCCATTGAGTATTCTTAAAAAATTGAATTTGTTTTTATTTTACGCATGTGTGTTTTGCCTGCATGTGTATAAATGCATTCATTCCAGGGGTTCTGACACCCTTTTCTGGCCTCTGTGGGTATTGAATGCACATGGTGCAAATACATGTATATGTGGGGGCAAAAAACTTTTACACATAAAATAAACAATTTAAAGAGATGTGATATTTAGTCCCTGTCTTATAAATTTATACTGAAATGATTACAGATGAAATGTTGTTGGTAAGGGCTTCAAAATAATGGGGGCAAGCAGATGTGTCTCTTGTGAAGCGTGGCTGGGCAGAGGTGGGAGTGAAGGTGGGAGAACTTCTGAAGGCAGTCCACAGGCATATCTTTGGGTTCATTTTGAGGTCACTGAGAAAGCTGCTTATCTTCTCATTGGGTGGGGGGAGAGAGGATGGATACCAGTAGGTACTGTAATGGGGATTACTGCGATCAGTTAGACAAAGCTAGTCAACAAGTGGAACAGACCTCCTTAAACTAGCTCACCTGATGTGCTGGCGTTGCTCTGATGGCATGGATTTCTTCTCCCTTTAGCTCCCAATCCACCTTTCAGAGTGAGATCTTAACAAATTCTGAATTCTTTATATGTGTATCATGTTTGAAAGTGTGTGTAGGTGAGGCAGAGGCCAGAGGTTGACATTTGGAGTCCTCTGTGGTTCTCTATGGTTTTCTTTGGGGAGGGTCTCTCAACTGAAGCCATAGCTAGCTGACAGGGTTAATCTGGCTAGTCAGCTTCTGTCTGCGCTCGCCAGGCCCACTGGCACGCACTTCAGTGCTGGACATCCTATCTCTGGTCCTCAGCTTCAGCTGCAATCACCTCCCCCTTCTGGCATCTCCCCAAACTTTTCCTTTTTCTTTTTCTTTCTTTTTTTGAGACAGGGTCTCACTCTGTAACTCTGGCTGGTCTTGAACTCACTGCAATCCTCCTGCTTCAGTGCTGGGTTTATAGGCTTGTACCCATACCTGCCTCTTACTTAATTTTTTAGTCTGCATTACCTGAAATGGTGCATCCCATTCCACCATGCCTTTCCTGGTTCTCAAGGCACAGGTGGGGCTCTGGACAGATATGCTAAGCAGGTGCAGGACTACATTTCCCAGTACCACATTTCCCAGTGACCCAGCAGCTCTTTCAGCCTGAGTCTGGTGTGTGGTTCAGGGAGTGGCAGGAAGTTCTGATGACTTTGGGGAGGTGACCTGGCTGTCACTACCCAGCTTCTGACAGTAGTCATCTACAAGGACCAGTCTGTGTAGCTGGAGGAAGTTGGTATCCATAGGGGTTGGTTAGAGAGAGGGCAAACAACAAGGAATGAAAAAGGGCCTAATTCTGAGAAGTAGCCCTCCTTGCAGACTTGTTTGAAGGATGGAAGGAGTTGAAGGATGCCTGACTTTCGAGGTGTGCCAACCCCATATATCACACAGTGCTAACGTGAATCCATGTTAACTCTTGCAAGACTGGCAAACAAGATGAACTTCCCAATAGGGAAGGCCACTCCTCATCGCTATTGGAAAACCCTTTCAACCCGAATTCCTGGGAGCCACATTCCTTGACTACAGGAGGAACTGCAGGTCCAGAGTTTCTCCTCAGTGTTGTCACCCATTTGCCAATCTCAGACCAGCTGTCACCTGATGAACTTCTGGTATGTGCTCTGTGCCCCTTCCCTTTCACAGCTCTCCTGTTAACTTTAATTTCTTGGCATTTCCTGGCATTCCTCTCCTTCCTCTCCAAGGAGGCCTGTCCTTTTATTACTTTGTTGTCTGGCTTAAGCAATGGACTGAAATTCTCATTGTGTACAGTTAAAGATCTGTAAAGAGCCAGACAGAGAATATTCTGCTCTGTGGTCTCTTTAAGATGTGGATTCTGTTGTGACACAAAAGCAAACATGAGCAATAAGAAATCTGAATTTCACATTCTTGTCCTCCTCTTCCTGTTCATCTTCCTTCCTGCCTCTTTTTTAAAAAAAGTTTTTAAAAATTTTACATGTATGATTGTATTGTTTGCATGTATGTAAGTGCACCCATGTTGTGCAGTGCCCACAGAGGTCAAAAGAAAATGTTGGATCCCCTGGAACTGGAGTTAAAAATGGTTGTTAGCCACTATGTGGATGCTGGAAATCAAATCTGGGTCCTCTGCAAGAGCAGCCAGTGTTCTTAACTGCTGAGTCATCTCTCTAGTCTGTTCTTGTTTTTTGAGACAGGGTCTCACTTTGTTCCCTTGGCTGGCCTGGAACTTGCTGTGCAGACCAAGCTGGCCTTGAACTCACAGAGATCAGTCTACCTGTCTCCCAAGTGCTGGTGTGAAGGCATATGCCACCACACCTAGCTTCACATACTTTTCATGTGTCATGAGTTAATTTTTCCTTCAGCAATTCAAAATGTAAAAATCATTTTTAGCTTACACCCAGCAGTAATTTGCCAACTCCTGAAAGAGAAGCAGACCAGTGTTCAGCCTAGATCTTCTGGCAGTTCAGGAGAGATAATGCCAAAAAGAACAAAATTCACAACCTGTCTTTCTAGACAAGGAGCCAGTAGGATTATCTTCAAGGTCCCCTCTGACTGTCCACTTCAGTATATAATAGCTACAAGGCAGGTCTGAGTGTCAATGGCTTTTTACCCAGCTCTCAGTCCTCCTCCATTCTCAGGAGGAAAGTGGCTAACCCTGCTCTTTGCAGCTAGCTCATAGGCAGGATTGGGCTTTTAAACATTTTCATATTCTCTTTTAAAATTCTTGTTTAATGTGTGTGCTTTGCGTGCATATATGATTGCACCACATGCATGCAATGCCCTCCGAGGTCAGAAGAGGGCAGCAGATCCCCTGGAACTGGAGTTATAGATGGTTGTTAGCGGCCATGTAGGGTCTGGGAACAGAACCCGGGTCCTCTGCAAGAGGTGCTCTTAACTGCTGAGACATCGCTCCAGCTCCCCACTTTCTCCTTTTTAGCTTCTAGTTTTCACAAGATTAATAGTGTTCTTCCCCTCACTACATCATCTTTTAGAAGTTCCCTTTATCTAGCACGCTTCTGGGTACAGGAAGAGATAAAGTACCAATGTCAGTCCTTGGCCATTTTGGGGAAACACTACATAGACCAGGAAGAAATGTTTGTGCGTGTATGTGCAAATGTTTTATAACTATAAAGCCCTCCATATCATGTCATATGCCTGATATCCTATCCTTTTTATTGTAGACAGTGGGAAATTATCATTATATACTACTTGGTGCTCTTGTGGTCACTACACTGCATGCTACATACTTAGGAGTGAATGCATTTTTTTCATCAGTTTGTTCTTATTGTCTCTTTTGTATTTCTTGGTGCTGTTCTTTGAGTGAATCTTCTGTGACTGCTTTTGGCTCCAGGAAGGGTGAGACCATAAGCATCCTTCCTAGCACCCTTGACCACTTCCGTATTAGAGGTACTGGAGTTCCTCTACTGCCTAGGGATTCCTATGATTCTAAGAATATGGTACTCTGAACATTTAAAAAATCATTACTGTATATATGTGGGCATGATATGTGGGTGTGTGTGCTATGGTGAGTGTGTTGGAGGTCAGAGGACAACTTTGTGTTCTCTCCTACCTTTATACGAGTTCTGGGGCTCAAACTCAGGTCATCAGGGTTGTGTGGCAAGCAAAATTACCCACTAAGCCATCTTATTAGCTCCTAGCATTAAAAAAACTTCGTATTGTGTGTGTGTGTGTGTGTGTGTGTGTGTGGTGTGAGTGGGTGTGTATGCCACATCAGACATACAGGGGTTAGAGGATGTGCTGGATAGCTTTAGTGTCAACTTGACACACCTGGGTTGAGGGAGCCTTGATTGGAAAATTGCCTCTATTGGACTGGCCTGTGGCCATGTCTGAGGGCATCTTCTTGATGAGTGATGTGGGAGGGCCCAGCCCACTGTGGGTGGTGCCACCCCTGGGCAGGTGGGCCTGTTTTGCATAAGAAAGCAGGCTGAGCAGGGGCCAGAGGAACAAGCCAGTAAGCAGCATTCCTCCGTGGCTTGTGCTCCAGTTCCTGATTTCAGGTTCCTGCCCTGAGTTCCTACCTTGGGCTCCCTGATGAACTGTGACCTGGGAGTTGTAAGCTAAATGGACCCTTTCCTCCCCAAGTTGGTAGTGGTCAGAGTATTTTGTCACAGCAATGAAGAACAAACTAAGACAGGACAACTTTGTGGAACTGGTTCTCTCTTTTCATCTTTCCACGGTTCTGGGGATTGAAGTCAGGTCACCAGACTTGCAAGGCAAGCACCTTTGCCTGATAAGCCATCTCACTCATTTCCCACCCAGCCTCCAGGTAACATTTTTAGTGAACATCCATTAGGATGAGATAAGTATCTTTTGACTTCTGGATTGAGATCTTATTTTGGTATGGCCCAAGACTGGTTTTCAGGAAAAGACTCTCCTCTGTAGGCACTAAAACGGGCAGCTGCACTGTAAAATCACAGGACTAAGACAATTATTGGTGAAGACATTAGCTTCTGGCTTCTCTGTCAATTACAGTGAATTAAGAAAGACATTTGGGGGTCAAAACAATTCAGTTTTAGATTAAACTACTTAAGGTACTTTTGAATTATTCCAGGTGATCATAAGGTTCTGAAAATTTGGAAAGATCTGAGAGGCGGATCTTAAGGTGAGCTACTCACATTTCAAGATTTGAAGAAACTATATAGGAGAAAAGACGAAAACAGATAAAATATGTTTTAAATGTTCTAATTTCAAAATTACATAATTTATACCAAAATCACATAATTTTGTAAAGTTGTATGTACATACTATTTGTGCTTAGACTTTCCATTTACTATTATTTTACAAGAGCTCAACTAAGTGCTTGGAAGTTATGGGTTCCAATTCCTACTCTGTCACTGTATGACATGTAACCTGATGTGTCAACATCATGAGTTTCTGCTCCCGTTTTATACAGAGTGGAAGACTAGATGGTGTGGAACACATATTTATACACGTCACCAAAGTGCACATGCTTGGTATTTTTAATGGTTATAGTGTTCAAAGGGGCTGATAAATATGGTGAAATACAGAGCCCTGGGGAGAACAATGTAAAGATGCAAATTACATTTACAGGCACGTGAACTGATACATAAACACACACAAAAATGAAACATAAAGCCTTAAAGGTCTAAATATTAAAAGTTTAGTAAAACAAAACCAGAACTATTATTAAGCCCTGTGTGGTGATGCATGCCAATAATTTCAGCATTAGGGATGCTGAGGCAGGAGGATCACAAATTTTAGTCTGAGCTACACAGTGAGACCCTGTCTCAAACAGACAAAACACTACTTATGTTTGCATGCAACAGATCCATAGAAAACTATTTTAAGAAATGTGATGCAGGAGCTTGGGAGATGGCTGTGGGTAGAGTCTGCTGTCTAAGCTTGAGGACCTCAGTTCAGATCCTTGGCATTCATGTAAAATTTAGATGCAGTAGTGTGCATCTATAACCCCAGTACTGGGGGGGGTGTGTGTGTCAGAGACAGATGGATCCCTGGAGCTCACTGGCCAGTCAGTCTTACCAAATTGGAGTTTCAGGTTCAGTGAAGGTAGGGGTCTGATGGTGTAGCTCAGTGGTAGAGCTATTTGCCTACTATGTATGTGAGGCCCTGGGTTTGAACACCAGCACCACAAATTAAAGTGCTGAATTTGTTAGCTGATAAAGTTGTCAAGATGTGATAGCTATGGTACAGTAAGCACTGTACACTTGTTTACTTACCTGCCCTCTACTTAACCCACTGCCAAATTAACTGCCAAAGTCCATTACCTCTGAACAAGTAGCTGGTGACTCTGATGCTAGACCTTCAGAGGTTACATTTGCTCCTTTTGAGAACACACATTTGTTCTCTTCAGTTTACTTTTTTTTTTCCATTTTTTTATTTTTTTGAGATAGGGTCTCATTGTGTAGCCCTGGCTGGTTTGGAACTTGCTATGTAGACCAGGCTGGTTTCAAAATCACAGAGATCCACCTGACTCTGCCTTGCCTTCTGAGTACTGGGATTAAAGGAGTGCACCACCATGCCTGGCTTCAGTTTACTTTGTATGCTCAATAAGACCCAGTGGTTTGTTTCCAAGTTATTCCAGTTAAAAAATTCTATCACTCATTATATAATTAGATATAAACTACATAATTAGATAATAACTCTATGCATAAGAGTGCAGAGAGAATTCCTTCTTCATAAACAAAGTTGAATGGCTGGAAACACTTGGGAATTGCGGCTCCAGTTGGCATGACCATGTGCAGAGCCCAGAACTTGTTGCTATAGCTACCCAGAAAAAGAAGCAGGGAGTTTCTGGAGAAGTGTTTCAATCCATATTTGGGGGCACTGAAAATGTAGGGCGAATCTGAGATATCACGTGTCAGAAAGTGTTTAGGTGCCCAGAGATGAGTGAGGGAATGTCAAAGAGGACGTAGCTGTTACTTGGGTGATTCCTACTAACCAAATTTGAGACAGCTTAAACATCAGAAACAATGACCACAACCAACACACCGAACCACCTGTCATCACTGGAGATAATATAAAAAGCTCCCAAACTGGTAATTAGTGGAAAAGAGCTAAGTGCTTGCTTCTAATGAATTTCTAGTTAATGAAGGAAAGTTCTTCCTTGCAGAAGACCTCCACTCAACATATGTAGAAAGAGCAATAGAAAAATCACTGTTTTGCAGACCTTGATGAAAAACTGATGCAGGCATGGATTATTGGGTAATAATATGACCAGGTGAAAAGCTGTTGATAAACAGGATAGACATTTGTTGCCCAAGTGTCAGTCCATTAATTGCAAAAAGGAAAAACCACATTGGAAAGACTGGGAGGGTGCCACCACAATAGCTACACGTCATGTTAGCAGTGTGCCAACCTAATAAGAATTTGTGGTGCAAGATGAAATGCACTTGTGTGGTGCTATGGCTAAAAATGTCTAATTGAATTCAATTAAACCTTTAGCCTCAACTCCTAATTTACAGACACTTCAGGATACCACATGTAAACCATGTGTAAATAATCAGTTAAATCCTGAATGTGAGGCATTCTCCAAGACAACTGACTGAAAACACAAAGAAAAAAAACGAAAGGGGACTGTTCTCGACAGATGAAACAGATACAAGAAAGTATGTGTGAAAATTGGCTACATCAACAGGAGAAATCTGAAAATGGACTAGGCATTTAGATATTAAAAAGTACTGCTTATTTGCTGCGAGGTACTGTGGTTATGTAAAAGACTTATTTTTATGAGATATATTTAGAAGCAAAATGTCTTTAAGTTACTTTTTAATATGGAAAAATAATGAAAAATATAGGTGGTGGGTACAGTTAATTTTCCAATTTCTAAACTCTTAAATATTTGGAAATATTCCTAATAAAAAGTTGTAGAAAATAAGACTATTTGCTGAAAGACTGTGAATTACTCATGGGCCAGACAATTCTAAAATGGAGGGGAAAACACACAGTGACGTAGGATTCTGTGCTATTATTCTGCCTGTTTTTCATAAGGGCCTCATTTGCCTCTGTGAAGCAGTGGAAGACTTTATAAATGCATCATTTACACAAAACACAGAAAGGCAGGAAATACAAAGCACTGTGCTGTGGCCTGAATCACACTTTCATTCCCATGGAAAAAGGTGCTACGCAAGGCATGAAGCAACATTTAAAAAGCCACACATTAAATACAACTGCTATTTTTAACATAATTGTGGAGCGAGTGTAATTAGAATATTTTTCAACCTGCATTTTGTAAATGATGATACTATGCAGTCAAGGCTAACTAATGCCATGAAGAGAGAGAAAATTCCATTAAGAAAACACTCAAAATAGCCTTAGGATGCTAGCACTCCAGCTTCTCCTTCCACACCTGTTTATAGGATGTTTATATAACAGGTAGTGTCAAATGAGGCCGTAGAGTCAATGCATGCTCAGATATTTATAGTACCAGAATTTGTTTCCTTTCATTTAGTTAAGGAAAATTTCCTTGTATAAAGATGTCCCAAGATTTCTGATTCTTCATTTTAAGCATTTACTACTAAGTAAATAGGATTTGTTAAATATTTGATGCATGCACATAGAAGTTATCTTCGGTTCCATCAATTTTCACTCCATGCCTATGATTCTACCTGATTACTCTAATCTCTATAGTTTGCTCATTAATTCAACCAATATGTATTGATCATGTGCTAAATGCAAGGCACCGGAGAAGCAAATATGAGCAAGACAAACATCTCAGCTTTATATTCTGAGAGTGGAATGCTAGGGATATTGATTAATGATATTTTTCTACCTATTTCTGCCAATCTTCCTTTTATGCTGTTTAAGACCATGAACTCACTTTATTGTTTAATCATTACAGTATCAATGACGGTTTCTGCACCAATGCTTTTCCACTGAAATGTTTTCCTAACACATCAAGAGCCATCTCTATTTACTTCCATGTGTGAAGGATCAGACTTTGTTATTCTCTAAAATAATTTCATTTTTAGTTTCCTACCAATAGGCTAAATTTTCTTTTGTTTTACCACTATTATTTTTAGGTAAAGCAGGTCAAATCATATTTCGGGTCCCACCAGTACTTGCATGCCCTCCTTACTTCTCCCCTTGGTTTTCGCCTGCCCCTTCTGCACTGGACTCAAGCTTCTTTTCTATTACTTGGTCTCACATTATTTTTGTAGCTACTTTCACTGCTCCCTTGATCTAGGTTACAGGGCAGCATTTGACAATCCGTTTAAGGTAGGACTGTGTTTGTTCTGTGGCAAAGTTGTTCAGATCGTTTCCCTACTTTTTCATGACTTTAAAAAGTTTTCTGTTGAGTCAACAGAAAGGATTCAGTCAAGAAGTCTGCATCCTTGAGCACAGGAGGCACTCAATGAATGTATTTCAATGGAAGAAATTGATTTGCTATAGTAAGAACCATGGGGAGACTTGTGGAAAATTTGAGCCAGGTGAAAAAAAATGGGAAGAGTATGCCTACTTGTTTTTCCTTTAGGATGACACTGGTGTCAAAACCAAGTGAAACTAAGGCTGCTTTGGTATAAAGATGAATTGAAGCTTGGGGAGTAATTTTTGCCTGATCAAATCTGTATGTGTCTAGGATTTATATACATCAGTCCTTTATTCTATCAGATTACCTTTCATTAAGCTTTTTTTCCTTGAAGGAAAGTGTAGTCAGGCAGTGGTCACATAGAAATCTTTTAAGATTTTTTCAGGTCTTCTTCCCTTCAAGCCTACTGGCTCCACACGGCAGGTGTAACAGGAAAAGAGGAAGCAGAAAAGGGGAGGGTACCCTTTACCTATTTTAAGGCTTCAAAGCTGAGATGAAGCAAAGGCCCCAAAGCAGCTTTTTCTTCCCTATAATCTCAGGATTAAGCTCTAGTGTGAAATCTACTTGATGGATGCTTTTCCAAGTTTTATTTATAAGGCCTCACCAAAAAGTACTTGAATTTCACTGAGAGTTGATGAGTTACAGGTTTTAAAATATTCTCTCACAGTGTTTCTTTTTGGAACGAATTCAAGTGATAGCAAATAAAAAAGTTAAGCAGCCAATGAAGCTTCCTTTTAAATTTCACATTAAATTCAAGTGGATTATATCCATTTTACTAATTCTGGTACTTCTGATACTGTGGGAGCTAGTATATTGCACATTAGATTTCTTTAAAATGTTTTGACACACAGAGCACACAAAATGAAATTTAAGCAATCAAGCTGCAAAATGTAAATGAAGTCTCCTATGTCCATTAATTACGATGCTTAGCACCTGTATGAACACGCTGATGCTGAATAAGATTTGTACTCTGGGTGAAGGTTTTACCACATATACGGCATGCATAGGGCTTCTCTCCTGTGTGAATCCTCTGGTGTTGAATAAGGCATGTTCTCTGGCTAAAATCTTTGTTACATTCATTACATTTATAGGGTCTCTCTCCAGTGTGAGTTCTCTGATGTTGATTAAGTGATGAGGAATAAATAAAAGCTTTCCCACATTCATTACATTTATAGGGTTTCTCTCCAGTATGAATCCTTTGATGCTGAGTAAGATTTGCCCCTTGTCTATATGCTTTCCCACATATATTGCATTTAAAGGGCTTTTCTCCATTATGAATCCTCTGGTGTTGAGTAAGGTGCACACTCTGGCTGAATGCTTTCCCACATACACTACATTTATATGGTTTCTCTCCAGTATGTGTTCTATGATGCTGAGTAAGGTTTGCACTCTGGCTGAAGGCTTTCCCACATACATTACATATATAGGATTTCTCTCCAGTGTGAGTAGTTTGATGTTGTATAAGCGTTGAGGAATGAGCAAAGGCCTTTCCACATTCATTGCATTTATAGCACTTCTCTCCAGAATGAATTCTCTGATGTCGAATAAGGTAAGTGCTCTGACTAAACACTTTCCAACACTCATTGCATTTATATGGTTTCTTTCCAGTATGAATTTTTTGATGCTGGAGAAGGTGTGTACTCTGACTGAAAGTTTTCCCACATTCATTGCATATATAAGGTTTTTCTCCAGTATGAACTCTCTGATGATTAATCAGTGATGAACTATGGCTGAAAGTTTTGCTGCATTCCAAACATTTATATGGTTTCTCTCCAGTATGTGTTCTTTGATGTATAGTAAGATGTGCACGCTGACTAAAGTCTTTTCCACAGTCATCACACTTATAGGGTTTCTCTCCAGTATGAATTCTCTGGTGTATAGTAAGGTGTGCACGCTGGCTGAAGGCTTTACCACACTGGTGGCATTCATATGGTTTTTCTCCAGTATGCATTCTCTGATGTGCAATGAGGGATGAGATATGCCTAAACTCTTTTCCACACTCTTCACATTCATAAGATTTCTCTTTGGCATGGCTATTTTGGTGTGCCAGGAGTGATGGGTATTTCCTAAACTTTTTTCCACATACATTACATGAATAAGGCTTATCTCCAGGAAGTATTTTCCCATGTACAATACCAGATGAGACATTATTGAAGGTTGGCTTGACTTCATTATACAGAGAAGTTTTATTATCTAACTGAGTATCAAACTGTACAATTAGGTTTGAGTGCTTTTCAAAATCATTTCTATATATATCATATTTATTAAGACATTCTTCTGTAGGATTTTCTTGTGGAAACTCTGACTTCAAAAAGAAATCTCTTTCACTGGTGTGAATTTTCCTGAAGGTATACACTGGCTGCCTCTCTACTTTGTCATCATAGTCATATGATTCTTCCAATTTGATGGTCTGGGTTCCATCCTGTTTGAGTTTAGGAATATCCGTTACTGGAATATATGCTTGGACTTTAGTTTCCCATTCTGAAATTAAAAAAAAAATCAAAAGTATCCCTCTGTTCAAAGAGAGGAAACAAAATAATGTACATGAATAAAATAATACCTAAAGACTATAGCTCTGACAACCTCATTATATGGTCCTTAAAGTTTAGGAAAGGAAAATAAATAGAAAAGGAGGAGGCTAAATTACTGAACAAAGAGAGGCTTCTCACTACTCAACATGGTACAAAGTAAATAAAGTAGATGAGATCAGATGGTGTTAAGAGAAACTTAGGAGCTGAGAGTGGTAGTGCACACCTTTAATCCCAGCACTTGAGAGGCAGAGGCAGGCAGATCTCTGTGAGTTCAAGGCCAGTCTGGTCTACATATCACGTTCCAGGCCAGATGGGGCTACAGGGAGAGAAACTTGGGATGCATGGAGTAATTTACACAGTGTTCTCATAAAGTACATATGCTGACTCATCACTTTCTCTCCCACTTTACCTGCACAATCCTACGTGACAGTCATTAAAAAACTTGTTTTTATTTTTATTTTATGTGTGTGAGTGTACGACCTACATATATGTAAGTGCACCACATATATTCAATGCCTGCAGAGGCCAGAAGACAGAAGACCCACTGACAGTTTTTCTAATTAAGTATATATAGGTGGGATCCAATAATTTTAACATACTTCCAGGTGACAGTGATACTTACACTGCTAGTGTGGAGACTCTAAATTTAAGAAGCATTGTTTAGGGGCTGCAGAGGTGGCTCAGAGGTTAAGAGCACTGGCTGCTCTTACAGAGGATGCAGGTTCAGTTCCTAGCACCCACATGGCAGCTAACAACCATCTGTAACTCCAGTTCCAGGAGATCCAATGCTTTCTTTTGGCTCTGTGAGCACTGCACATCATGGGTACACTAACATACATACAGGCAAACACTCAAATACATAAAATTAAATAATAATTAAATAAAATTTAAAGCTTGGCATGGTGGCATACACCTTTAACCCTGGCACTTGTGAGGCAGAGGCAGACAGATCTCTGTGAGTTCAAGGCCATTGTGGTCTATATATCAAGTTCCAGGCCAGTTGGGCCTATAGGAAAACCTGTTCTCAAAACAACAACAACAACAACAACAACAAAAGAACCATTGTCTACTCCATGAGATTACTTTAAGAATATATGTAGGGGGCTGGAGAGATGGTTCAGTGGTTAAGAGCATGGGCTGCTCTTGCAGAGGACCCAAGTTTGATTCCCAGTGTGGAATTGGACACTCTCTTCTGACCTCTCTGGGCACTGCATGACATGGGTGCACATACATACATGCAGGCAATACACACATACACATAAAAGTAAATATATTAAAAAATAGTAAATAGGACTGGAGAGATGGCTTAGTGGTTAAGAGCACCCACTACTCTTGCAGAGGGACCTGGGTTCAATTCCTAACACCCACATGGCAGCTAACAACCATCTGTAACTCCAGTTCCAGGGGAACTGAACTTCCTTTTCTGATTCTGCAGACATTGTACAACATGGGTGCACTTACACACATACAGGCAATACACTCATACACATAAAAATAAAAATAATTTTAAGCTGGGCGTGGTGGTGCACACCTTTAGTCTCAGCACTCGGGAGGCAGAGGCAGGCGGATCTCTGTGAGTTCAAGGCCAGCCTGGTCTACATAGTAAGTTCCAGGCCATCTAGGGCTACAGGGAGACCCTGTCTCAAAAAGACAAAAAAAAAAAAGTAAATAAAATATTTTTAAAAAAGAGATAAAAGAAAAAAGTTCAAAACACCTCCTCTTGGCATTTAGCTCCTAAATAACCTAGTCTTTTATATTTTTGTATATCCTCTACACCTCATACTTGGAAGTCTGAAGTTATCCATCCACTCCTTCTACACTCTGTAGATGGTGTGCTAACCCCAGACTCATCTCTTCCTGATGCTTACAGCTCAGGTCATTTCCTTCTATTGTCCCTCTCAGAATCTGAAATATAGGGTTAGGGGAATACTACATTGTCTTTGTAAAGGTAAGAATGGTTGAATATCAGCAATCTTAATATAGTCCAACTATATAATGTAGGGCCCATGACAGAACTTGGCCTTATCCAATTATTGCACAGTTTTGTGTGTGTGTGTGTGTGTGTGTGTGTTTTAATATTTTCAACTTAGATGTAAACTCTGGAAATGTCTTATTTTTCTTTTATATTTTCTTCAGAAAATAGCCCAGGACTTTGGATTTGGTAGCCACTCAAGTGAACTGGGAAAATGATAATGACTTGTAATACAAATAATTTGTACACACAAAATACAAACAAAACCCTCTGACCCCAAAACCTGGCTGCAAGGTAGTCAAGCATGAGTTTATTGATACTTGTTACGTTTCCAATACAATGCTTTAAACCACATTTTATGTCAGATCCCTCTGAAACCAGGTCGGGAAGCATGTAACATATGTTTTCATTATATAATATAATATAATTAGAGAAATGGTACTAGATGGTTCAGAAACTAAGTGTAGCTCAAAGTATAATAATTTTGCCAATCTATCAATCCAATAGGTTAGAGTGCGGTCACTGAAAATGATAGTTCTATCCATCAGTAATGGACTGGTTAGAGTAGAATATTACTGGAATATTGGTAACTGGTAAAATCAGGTAGGTACAGGCACATGGACATGAAAAGTCATATGGACATTATTAGGTGAAAGAGAACAGAGGTAAAATAGCATGTAGACAAAGATCCTATCTGTGTAAAGGTATGCTGTTCATATTATGGGCAGACAGACAGAAACACTGATGATCTAAGGGAGAAGATCCTAGTAATAACTGATGGGAGGAACCACATATTTAATTTGCCTTCTTACACTGCATGAAATAACAAACTACTTTAATTACTCTTATTCAATTACAAAAATAATAGTTGACACCAGAATATGTCCAAGAGTAATGTTAAATAAGAAAAGTACTACCATGCCAAGCATGAAGATGAAGTGGAAAAATAATATAGTTTTTGCTAATTTTCAATAAATTACATGCTCAAAATATAAAATAAGCCAGGTGTGGTGGTGCACTTGGGAGGCAGAGGCAGGCAGATCTCTATGAGTTCAAGGCCAGCCTGGTCTACATAGTGAGTTCCAGGACAGCTGGGGCTACAGGGAGATCCTGCTTCAAAAAGACA